CTAAGTAGAGTACTGCAAGTACTGCACAAATGTGAGGCACTAGTAGTTTACTTTTTATTTCTCTATACATCAACTACACTACATTTCAGGGGGAAATGATAATATATTAAGTGCTGCCTACATGTTAATCCATTCGTAACAATACTCAAATGATATAATATTGAAATATATAAATGACAGGAGGGTGTGTATCCTTCATAATTACTACTTTTACCTTTGATATTACCTACTTTTACTCAAGTAAAAATCTAAAAGCAGGACTTACTTTCAATGGAGTATTTTTACACTGTGGTGTTGATATCTGAATACTTCTTTCTCGACTGTACACAAGATTTTTTTTTGCGTGGAAATAGTGTTGCATGCTCTAAAACAGGGGTGCCCACACTTTTTCAACTTGCGAGCTACTTTTAAAATGACCAAGTCAAAATGATCTACCTACATTAAAAATGCTGAATACCTGAGGACCTGCTGGAGACTGAGCGTCGCGTTCAGCCTAAAACTACCACCGAGGAGGAGATGGAGGTATTTAACTATTATCCACCAAATAATTCAGTTCAGAAAAGTTTTAAAGTCTTAAATCCATCAATTGCCTAATTCCCAAACTCAGGTGCAGGTGAGATTTGGGTGTGGCTATAATTACCACACAGTACACGGGATGCAACATATTAGCATTTGAAGATGAATTTGCAAACATAGACAGCTTAACAATGTTAAAAGGATCATTTGTGGAGTTACTTGCAACAGCTTAAACTTTTGTTGTGACTTGTTGCATGTATGATTTAAAATATCTGCGAAGCAATAGACAAAGTTATTTTTTTTAATATATAGTGTTGTATCATTACTGCTAATGGGTCATAATGTGTGGAGTTTTGTGAAAACTGCCATGGAAAACATGATGAATGCTGGACTAGAAAATAGTGAATTCATAAAAGGAGACATTATCTGCCCTTGAGAATAGAACAGAATAGAATATAATGCTGGAAGGAACTGGAACACAGCAGAGTTCTCGAATAAATTAGAATGTTGAGGTGTCATGTTGTGGATGAAGCCGGGTGCTCCACAGAGGACAGCTGGACAGCTCTGAGGTAAGCCACAGGCAAAACCACTCGTCAAACTTTCAAGTAAAGTATTTTATTTTATTTTATTTTATTGGTCAGGCTTCCTGGGAGGCTCCCTGTTGACGTGAAGGTCTATCATCTGGCAAATTGGGAGATGAACTTGCAAGCTTTTCAACCTCACTTCAGGCTTCCGGTGTCCGATGTAGGATGATGGGGTAAGATACTGGCACCAAACTCCTGTCGTGTAAACCAGTAGCATATCTGACCTGTAACTTTGGATTCAGAATAGACTTTGACTGCTACCACTTTTCATAATTTGGCTCAGGATGTTTGGTGCCACTATAATAATTTAAGGATTACCAAATCCCTCCT